AAAAGTCGCATCCTGAATGCATCATCTGAAAGAGTGGACAACTTGGTAGTTGAACACAATTCCAAAAACACATCCAAGTGCTTATAAGGATCTTTTGTTGCAAACCCATGGAATGTAGGAAGCATTTGGATTATAGCAGGCTTTATCTCAAAGTGGGTAGCATCAGACTGTGGAAATTGAAAGCACGAAGTGGATGTATTTGATGTGGGAATGTAATGATCCCTCATTTGTGGTGGTGGTGAAGTAGGTGCTAATGGCACACGTGCTCTAGGTGCATTTATATCATCAGCCATGTTTGTCCTAGAGGATTCTCCTAACAATTCAGAATTCTTTTTAGGTCTTCTAATTCTCCTAAAAGTTTTCTCTAATTTAGGGTTGTATTCAAGTATTGATTCTGACAAAGAACGGCGACCTAACATGCACAATGTCCAATTGCACAAATAGTAACTAAAAATAAAAATTCCAAGTAAAGGAACCAACAAGAACTCACAAAAGGTCCTGAAACCGAAGCTCCTTTTCCTTAGGCGTATTCATCCTGGCTGCTAGATTCCTGCACTTGAAAAGAAAAAGAAATAAGGTGAGATATCAGAAAGTCCGAAGACATATAAATCAAAACAGAACTAATTATAAACTCAATAAACCGTTACATAGTCCCCAGTAATGACACCAAAAATTGTTGTCTACAAAATTATCACTCGCAATAAAACGAATCCTTGTAGGATAGGGTTACTAAGAGGGTGTCGAACCACAGAGACTATAGTAGTTTATTAAGTGTCCAATTAAGACGATTTTGATTTAGAGAGAAAAGATTGTTTGATTTGGTGTGTGTCACAAACATAAAACAAAATTGAATTAAAATAGAGTAAAGAGATAAGAGAAAGGATCTTAGGGATTGACTTCACCACGAACCTCGTATTATGGTCAACTGTTCAACCTTGGGATTTTAACAATTTATGTTTTATAAAAAATTAAAATCAATAACATTCATTTAATTTAGGTTTAAAGAAAGATGTTTCATGAATTTCAACTAACAATAACCTATCTTCAACTAGCACGAATTATTTACCTACCTACTTCTAACTAATGTTGTAGTATAACTCGTCTTCCCTTGGTATAGCCTATGGAAATATTCATTCATGAAAAACGTTGGAACACCATTGCATGATCTCTATTCTTATTATCGAGAAGCCCTTATGCCGCCATCTTGTATATTAAGAATATGTTAAAAATAATTTAAGAACAATTAAATCTAAGACAAGGTATTAATCATTCAAAAACCATTATTTCATTAAAACACTAATTGATATAACTCAATTGCTCATAATCATGCAATCAAAATACATAAATAATTAAATTCCCAAACTTAGAACAATCAAACTATAATACTCTGATTCGGGTTACATCAATGCCCTAAGAGAGGAATTAGCTACTCATGACGACGCAAGATATCATCTGTGTTATTGTGGACTTCATCATCATGGACTGCACTTTTCTTCTCAGGATCTTCACCTTTAGTGCTTAAAATAATTACAGAAACCCTAAAGCTGCCACGAGATCTAAAATATCTTATATTCTGAAGAGAAAGGTTTTATGTGGTCTTGTGCTTCCTTTTATAGAAGAACTGACTTCTAATAAGGCTTAGATGGGCTTTAGGTCTTTTAGGGTCTTCTAGGCCTGTCTGGAATGAATTATGACATAATTAGAATAAATCTTGCAACTTAAAATTCTGACTTAACAACAAAAGGTCGAGGAGAGAAGCTTCTGCTCGAGCTTTTTGGTATAGACTCAAGCCATTTGGAAGGGTGCTCGAGCCAAACTTCTATACTTAGCTAAATTTCTTCAATTATTTTTCGAAGAGTCTTTTTCATCAACATTTAGAATATTTTTGGGATTCTTCTTCACAGTACTCGATCACCGTGACTTGGTGCTCGAGCCTTGGGACTTAGGCTCGAGTTTTTTGGGCAAAGGCTCGAACCTTTTAACTTCTGATTCTGCTCGAGATTTAGCAACATGGAACTTCCGATGAGTCTTTTCATATTCCGAGAAATATTTTGCTCGAGCACCCTTGCAAGGGCTCGAGCACCTTGAGTCTCAGCTCGAGCAGAAAGATCTCTGCTCGAGCTCTTTAGCCTTAATTGACTTTCTTGTTTTAGTTGACTTTGTGCTCGAGCCAAGGAACTTGTGCTCGAGCTTTAACACTTAAACTTCTCCAAAATCTCCATTTTGACTATAAGCTTGCTTCAGATGATCGGCAACGACTCTATAAGTTTCGATATTAGTCTTTTCATCATAAAATCCCAGTTTTAACCGTTTGTTTGGGAAAGTACCTACAAATACGAAGTAAACATAAATCAGTCTAACACTGGATAGAAGTATCACTTTAGGTCTTAACATAGTATATCTAGGGGCTCGAATATGCAATATTCAGTGCTTATCACCATTCCTTTAAATAAAAAAATAAATAATTAAACATTTAAGCTAACATATAAATACAAACAAATATACAATTAAATCACATAAATCACATCAAACAAATATACACAAATAAAATCACATAATTTACATTAAACAATTAAATCATTTAAGCACATAAACACATAGCCACATAATCAATTAAAATGCAAATAAAAATAATTAAATAAATCCTTTTAATATCCTCTGAAAATTAGGGGTATTACATAGAGCTCGAGCTGTACATTTTTCGAGAGAAAAATCACCGCACAGCCTTTGTGCTCGAGCACTACATCCTTGTGCTTGAGCACTACTTCTCAATGCTTGAGCATTGACTCCCAGTGCTCGAGCATTGAGCACTGTACTTGTGTATTTGACACCCAACTTCAAACGACCATATCTTCATCGTCTCAACTCCAAATTAGGTCATTCATGAGTCCATTTTGAAGGTTTTGAAGTCAAATTTCCAATGGTACTAGTAGCATTCTAAAACTCAAAACACATTGAGAGTTATGACTGTTTTAGTGAGACATTGTGGGGAGATCTCTTAATTTAAAAATGTTGGTTTTTGACGAAACCTTTCCTCTAGGGTCTAGGACCTTATAGGACGTCTCCAAGTGTTTTGTATAACCTAAATGGACTTCATTGGCACTCTATTATTGGTCACACAAGCCATGTAGGCTTATGTGGGTCTTAACTTCTACTTTTGAACTCAGATTCCGGGTTAAACTGGGGCTAGTCGAGGAAGCTTCCAACAATGTTTTCAAATTGAGTTCTATCATTTCCTAATGTTGTGTTTGGTAGGAATGAAGGAAGATGTGTGGAGAGAAAATAAGAAAGAATGAACAAACTTTCTTTGTTCAATAGAGATGATATAAGGAAAGAAAGGAGAATAAGAAGGATGACCCATCCTTCCTCCTTTACAAATTTTCATCCACTCAAAAATGGGCTGAAGAGAGGAGAGAAGACAAGTGAATTATTATAGAAGTTTTAAATTAAATACTATCCTAAATTATAGATGTTTTAAATTATAAAACTATCTCTATAAATTACAATTTTATAAATATTATTGGATAGTAAAAATAATTTAAACTTTCTCTTTCCTTCTTTCTTAAAGAACATAGTTAATTATTAGCTTATTCTCTTCTCTTCTATCTAATCGCATAAAAAGAAGGAAATATACAGTCTCTTCTCTAGGGATGTCCCATCCATCCTTTCTTCTCTCCCTTCCATCCAATTTTTTTCTTTCCTACCGAACAACGCATAAATGATTTTAAATGTTTAAAATGATTTAAGCAAGCTTCGTTTGACTCGTTCGGAGTCCAATTTCTCTCTTTTGTTGCCTTGGTCCGACATGTGCCCAAGTGACCAAGGTGGGCTTCATCATCTTAGGTTTTTCTTATTTTTGCTCACCTATTTCCTCCTTGTGTTCTTGGAATTTAGGTGATACCATTTTAGCTTAAGTGATTCACCATTCATGGTCACATTAGCCATGTGGGCTAATATGGGTTTTCGCTTCCGTATTTTGGACTTGGTATCAAGTCTAGTATTCATGTTACTTGTTAATGCACCGAGTCATCTAGATTCGGGGAGTTACAGTGACCCAAGGATTGGTGTGACTTAAATAAAGCCTGAGAGAATGAGTTTCTCTAAGGAAAGGAAGAAGGAGCAAGTTTGTTTCAAATTGTAAATGTTTGCTCTCCACAACAAATGAGGAGTCCAACTGAATTCGTAAAGTCTCAAGAGCGATCTTGAGTCGAGGAATTTTAATTTAATTTAGTTAATGAGTAATTGATATCTGAAGATAAGATCAATGATTATATTATACATACATGCATAAATATTTTGGTAAGGATAATACTTAGATCCTCACAGAGGATCTATAATATCATCACCGCTTATGTGGTCCAATAAAAATAAAATATGTCATTTTTTGTTAAATATGTAAGAAAAATAAAGAAAGAGAAGATAAATCAGATCCTACCCGTCTCGTTTGAGATGGGTAGAGAGGGTTCAGTTTTGTTTTGTTTTTTTTTTCTTTTTTTTTGTTTTTTTAAAGGTTCAACGTGTAGTAAGGTGTTTTAGTATCCTATCAAAACTGAGGAACATAATCGTAGGAGAAATCAAGTTTTCGAGTTTTGTGTTAATATGTATGTGAATCCTTAAATCTAACACATAATCTTTTATGGAAAGTCCTTTTCTAAAAAAAGAATCCTAAATATGTAAACAAGAAAAAGAAAAATAGATAATATATCATTCAAATATTCTTCGCAATTGAATGATGATGTACATGACTAGAAACTTGAGAGGAAGTAGATGGTGGAGAGAGAGCGCTGAAGGCTGGTGCCGAAAAGAGAGAACTAATCCTAAAAATAAAAAATAAAAAGAAATAAATAAATTGAACCCTCTTTAGGCTGCTAACCCGATCTCAATCGGGTAGGATCTCTTTATTTTGCCTTTCTTTATTTTCGGACATGTTTAATAAAAGATGTGGTATTTTATTTTTATTAGAATACGTAAGTGAGAGTGTGATTGGTTGTTAGGTCAATTTTCATCGATGCAAGCACTAGGCGCCAGTTGTGCAATGCAGACAGACTTCCACGACTCCACCAGTACTTGAAAGCTATCTTCCCATCAATAGTTAATTAATTACCAGCCTATGCAATAACCAATGAGGAGAGACAGAAATGGCAGAAAAATATTAATCGATCACCAGCATCACGACTACTGGAAGACTTCTACGGCGACTGCAAGGTTAGATCACTACTTTCTCTCTCTCCGTTGTCTGAAATTTCTCAACATTGTTAGTGTCTATGAAATAATTGTTGGGTCAAATTTTAATAATACAAGTCTTAGCTTCTGCTAATTAAGCTTCATGTTACTTCACCAATCGTTCAACTGATCATAAGAAGGCGCTCTGCTATTAAAATTTGCTTAAGTTTACTAGAGTATTATTAAGATCTACTACGTATTTTAACCTTCTGAGGACCAATAGTGGCTATAATTTCTAATCGAACAAAAAAATCTTATATTTTAACTTGTACTAATTTAATTGTGTTGTGGTTTAACATTTCTATTTTGGCTGTGTTGGAGGATTTATGTAGTTAGTCTGAACATATTTTTAACCTATTAATTTGTCATATGTTTTTTTTTTGGTTAAAAGGGTAAGCTTTTAATTTGTGATATGTTGAATACATCTTTATTTATTATTTACTAGAGTATGGGTAAAGTAGAATTAAATAGACCTTTAGTTATCATTTACTAGAGTATGGATAAGTTCTATTTTTAATCTTTAAGGACCAATAGGTCGCTAAATGTATTGGTTTAACTGAAAAAAAAAAAAAAAAACCCCTCAGGCTACATTTTTTCGACTTAAATTATTTATTTTTCAGGTAAATTTTTTTTTTTTTTTTTACTTTTTCAAAGATGTCGGGTGTGTAAAATAATTTGTAAAAAATTGATGAGTAAGTTATTTTTGTTCGGTTTTAATATTTTTTTTCTTCGAATATATTTTACTTACAACCAAACGTCAAAAAATAAAAAAATATTTTCTAAAACATATTTTACCTCCAAAATAAGTGGAGCCCTCAATTTTCAGGGTTTTACAAATACCCTATGGTGATGCAACTAACACAGTACTCTCAAATATTTGGAAGTTACAACTTAAATCCCAAACGGTTAAAGTGCCGTTAACAAACATTGGATGGAAATTAATACTGTTTGTTTAACCCGTCCATTAGTCCGGATGGTGTGGTTTTATAGGTAGGATTGTTGGAAATTAATACCGTTTGTTTAACAGGTCCATCAGCACAAAATAGCAGTAGCTACTTTCCACAGCAAAACAGCACCGCCAACCGCAAGACTTTTTTATGATGACTGCAAGGTGAGATCTCTCCATTCTCTGAACTCAACATTGTTAGTGTCTATGGAATACTTGTTGGATCAATTTTAATAATGCAAGTCGTAGCTAGCTAGGTGCTAGTCCTTCAACTGATCAAAGATTTAAACAGTTTTTTGTCTGACAATATCATGAAAATACTTGGATGAGGTCTGTTCCATTAATTGCAGTTGAATTTGAAGCTTCTGCTAATTATGACCATTTTGTACAGTACTCTGTTCACACATTGGAAGACTGTTTTAAGAGTTGACATCAATTATCAGCAGCTTATGCTAAAACAACTGTTGGAGAGCTTCAGAGAGAAGAAAGAGAGAGAATATATAATGGCATCACAGCTACTGAAAGACTTCTATGGCGGCTGCAAGGTTAGATCACTTATCTCTCTCTTCATTCTCTGAAATTTCTCCACATTGTTAGTGTCTATGAAATAATTTTTTGGTCAAATTTTAATAATGCAAGTCCTAGCTTCTGCTAATTAAACTTCATGTTACTTTGCCACTCGTTCAACTGTTCATAAGAAGGCGCTAATTAAGCTACATGTTACTTGTTGAGTCGATTTTTAATTTCCAACAAAATTTCTAAATTTTGATTTACACTAGTTCAACACGTGTTGTAATTTAATATATCTATTTTTGCTTTGTTGGAGGATTTATGCACTTAGTCTGAACATATTTTTAACCTAATAACTTGTGACCTTTTTATACATGTGATCTGTTGAATATATCTTTATTTATCATTTACTAGAGCATGGGTAAAATAGAAATAAATTTATCGTTGTGTCATTTGCTAGAGTATGGGTAAGATCTATTTTCAATCTTTAAGGACCAATAAGTCCTCAACTTTAACGGTTTTACAAATACCACTATGGTGATGCAACTAACACTTTCAACTATCTGTATGAAATTTACAACAAAGTGCTGTTAACATGGATGGTAATTAATACCCGTTAAAAAAGTGTCGTTAACATGGATGGCAACTAACACTTTCGACTATCTATCTGAAAGTTACAACAAAGTGCTGTTAACATGGATGGTAATTAATACTGGTTAAAAAAGTGCTGGTAACATGGATGGTAATTAATACTGTTTGTTTAACCGGCCGACGGACGGTATGGTTTTGCTTATAGGTAGTTAGATTAGGTAGGACTGTTAGAGAGGTTCAAAGATAAACAGCTCGTCAGCACAACATAGCAGCAATTACTCTCCACAGCAAAATAGCACCGCCAACCCCAAGACTCTTACGACGATTGCAAGGTGAGATATCTTTTCTCTCTGAAATTATTCAACATTTTTGGTGTCTATTGAATACTTATTGAGTCAATTTTTAATAATGCAAGTCCTACCTAGGTGCTAGTGTTCAACTGATCAAGGGTCTGTTTCATTATTTGCAGTTGTATTTGAAGCTTGTGCTAATTAAGACCATATATAGTTGGAGAGTTTAAATAGTTTGTGCAAATATTTAGAGAAGGATGACAGAAGCTGCTGTGGGTTCTCTGTTGGAGAACATGGTGCAGCTGATAAACTCTAACAATGAATTGATTCTTAAGGCTTATGAGGAGAAAGTCATTGAGAAGGAACATATCGAATCACTTTATGAGGATATGCAATTCCTACTGAAGTTTCTGAAAGATTCACGGCCTTTCATTCCCTTGTTTTTTCAAGGCACACCCGTGACCAGAAAACGCCTTCGTGATCATGAAGAGCTGAAAAGCATTGTGTCAAAGATTAGAGACGTCAGTTACAAGACAGAAGACATCATCGACTGGTTCCTACTCAAAACTGTCATCTTGCAGCAGAGAGATGGAAGAAGCACGGCTTCTGATTTTGATCCCCTCATGATCAGTACTTCATCCAAGAATATTTTGGACAAGGCTCAGAAAATCTCCGAGAGCTTTAAACATATGGTAGAAGAAATTAGTTCTATCCAGAAATGCAAGACAGAGGTATTGGGAATGCTCTCATGGCTTCAGTCTGACATGGCTCATAAAATTTGTGATGGCTTTGGCGGTGTCATAGAAGAGATCAAACCTATCATAAAAGAGGCGATGAATATTCTTCACAAGGGATCGAGTCTCCGATGGCTAAAGACTAATGTGTTTGCTGAAGGTGATTGGTGGAACAATCGGAACGTGGCTTATAGACTCAATGGTTACTTCTGCCAATTGTTCGAAGAGAAAATTCGTGAAGTTGATCATCTCCTCCTTAATATGTCTAGTGAGAAAATTCCCCAAGGCGGCTTTGGTGGTATCATAAGAGAGATCAAGCTTATCATAAGACAGGTGCTGGAGAATATTGATAAGAGATCCATGAGCTTGTGTCTCAAGTTTAGCTTGCCTGCGAAAATAGCAGGCCTCTGTCATTTGTCCTTAAAAAAAATTGGAGAAGTTGAGCACCTTCTTAATTCGTCCAGTAAGGAAATTCATTCTATAAAAGAGATCAAGTCTATCGTAGAAGAGGTGATAGAGATTCATGAGAATTTATTCCCAGATATGATACGGTGGTCCGATTTTTCGCTCTACAATGAGAAAATTAGTCCACTTTTTATTCGTCTGTCCAGAGCAAACATTTGTAAAGTTGGTCTCCTGTATCATGAGTCCGCTGAGGTACCTTATGAATTTGATCGCCTCTATAGATTTTCTACACTTTTTTCGTACCTGCCTAAAAAAATTTGTGATTGCCACGATATAGACACAAGTGATTGGTCTCAATTTTGCTTGGCTGAAGACTATCGTCATCTGTTCAGTACGTACGAAGCAATGAGTGTCTTGGGTGAGAAAATTCGTCATATCTTTGGCAGCATCACAGAAGAGATCAAGCCTATCAAGACAAAGGTAATGAAGATCTATGAGAAGGGATTGAGTAACCCGTGGATTAATTCTCAAATGACTCGTGAATTCCTTCTCCTCCTCAATTTGTCCATAAAGTTGGTGGACCTGGCTGAGGAACTTTCTCATAGCTTTGGCAGTGTCATAGAAGACACTAATTCTATCAAGACAGAAGTGATGAAGATTTACCAACAGGGTTTGAGACTTTCATGGCTTGAATCTGTTATGCTTGATGAAATCCATAAATGGTTTGCCATTGTCACTGAAGAGATAAAGTCTATTAAGAGAGAGGTGATGAAGATTTATGAGAAGAAAATGTACGGCATCGGAGTGCTGCGAGGTGAGAAGTCTTCTCATGGAGATTCATCAATACCCACCACCTTTAAAGTCAAGGAAGAATTAATAGTGGGATTTGATGGTGAAACAGAAACAATAATGGAACTGCTTAATCAACGACATGATTCACGTCTGAAAGTAATACCAATCATCGGGATGCCTGGACTCGGTAAGACCACTCTAGCCATGAAAGTGTACAACAATCCTCTCATTCAATATAAGTTTCCTATTCGTGCATGGACACATGTATCTCAAGTATACTGGAGGAGAGATTTGTTACTTAGAATTTTGAGTTCTGCAGATATCCAGCTTAAAGGTAAAATTGAGAAAATGAGTGACGAAGAATTAGGTGAAGGACTGTACAAAAGGCTAAAAGGTCAGAAGTATCTCGTCGTCATGGATGATATATGGGAGTTGAGGGCCTGGAATGATATCAAAAGATATTTTCCAAATGACAACAATGGAAGCGGAATTATATTCACTAGTCGGCATGGAGACGTGGCTTTATCTTTGCCTGCTGAACCTCACTACTTGCGGTTTCTAGATTCAGATGAAAGTTGGGTTCTGTTACAGCAAAAGGTATTTCAGGGAGATAGTTGCCCTCAGGAGTTGATTGCAATCAGAAAGCAAATTGCCAAAAAATGTCAAGGACTACCACTTGCAATTGTTGTAATAGCTGGACTTCTCACAAAGGAAGACAAAACACAAACCAGGTGGAGGCATGTTGCTGAAAGTGTAAGTTCATACATTGTTACTGAACCTGAGCAATTCATGGACACACTAGCACTGAGTTACAACCACTTGCCTTATCACTTGAAACCATGTTTCCTCTATTTCGGAGCATTCCCTGAAGACTATGAAATTCCAGTTTGGAAGTTAATATGGTTATGGGTCGCTGAAGGATTTATAGTGCGAAATCAACAAAAAAGTTTAGAAGCAGTAGCGGAGGATTACATGATGGAACTAATTGATAGAAGTTTAGTGATTGTTTCCAAGAAAAGGTCTAATGGTGGAATTAAAACATGCCGTGTTCATGATCTCTTGCGTGATTTATGTTTGAGAAAAGCTCAAGAAGATAATTTTTTAATGCAAGTTTCGAGTTATGAACGAACATTTTCTTCTTCAAGTCCTACGGCAAAAAAGCAGCGTCGCATTTGCATCAGTACTCACGTTGATTTTTATAACATACTTACTCTCTTTAATGGATGTGGTTATTCAAAGCATGGTGATCCAGAGGTCCGCTCTTTCTCTTCAACTACCGAGTTACCTCTGTTTTATCTTTTGTCATTTTGTAGTGCCTTCAAACTTCTTAGGGTGTTAAATATATCATCGGTAAAAATTTCCTCCTTTCCTGAAGGACTACAACTGTTAGTTCATTTGAGGTATTTATCAATTCATATTGACAAAGAATATTTTCAGCCATCAGTATTCAACCTCTGGAAGCTAGAAACCTTTATTCTTGAAGGGGGGCCAACAGGTTGTGTATCTTTCTCACATGATATCTGGAAGATGGTGAAGTTGAGGCATCTATATACAAAGCAGTTTATTGAAATCCCTCATGTACCCAATGATAACTATCCTTTCATGTTGGTTGACCTTCAAACCATATGTAAATTAGATCTATGTGGTGTAGATGAGCAAGTCTTGCGAAGGATTCCGAATCTCAGTAAACTAACATGCTCTTTTATGGAGTTATTGGGAGGGAATAATATCTTTCCTAAATTGGACTTTCTAGTTCACCTTGAAACCCTGAAGGTAACTTATGGTGGATTTAGAGGACATCTGGGAAGATTTCCATGTCTGGATGAGTTTCCCCCAAATCTCAAAAGCTTGACTTTATCAAACTTCTGTCTGTCTTGGGAGGAAATGTCGACCCTTGGAAGGTTGCCTAACCTTGAGGTCCTTAAATTATCATACAAGGCCTTTGAGGGACCAAGGTGGGACACAAGTGTTGGACTGATTCACAAACTCAAATTCTTGAGGTTTCAACGCCTGGACATCAAGCAATGGAATGCTTCTGGTAGTAGCTTTCCTGTCCTTAAGACATTGGTATTAGATGACTGTAAACAACTCAAGGAGATCCCATCTGGTTTACGCGATATTTTTACATTGGAGATGATTCTGCTCTGGTATTGTAGCAGCCCCGCAGCACGCTCTGCCTGGCAAATTCAAGATTGGCAACAAAGAATGGGATATGATGGACTTAAGATCCAGATTTACCCTTGGAATAATGAGGATGATGATGAAGATATGGAGGATGATGAAGATATGGGGGACAAAGATGATACATGTCGAGGCTAATCATGAGGATGACAAGAATGACATAGCATTCAGTCACTTACATAACTTACATACTGTGTGTCGTTTGTAATTTCATTTTACTTTTACCATCATCTCAAGATGAATGGAATCCATTTCATGGTAGCTTGATTTCAGGGAACATAAATTTAGCGGGTAGGATTTTAGTAAATAGCAAGAGTACAGAGGTATTTTGTTTGACTTGCTTCTCCTGGAACCAGCCTCGACATAGATGGAATAGTTCCACACAAAGAATTAGTTTAACAAAAAAGGGTAGCTATTTGATTTAGAATCAGAGTTTTACCCTTAGAATATGTGGCTTCAACATCCATTGAAATGCCCATCAATGCTCTCAAAATGATGTCATTATCTACACAAAGCAAACTGAACTTACTGATTGATTTTATGGTTCTTTTAAATTCCGACTCTTGGGTAATTGCTCAAAATTATTAGGAATTCATTCTCTTAAATTAAATTGTTTCATGCGTCACTTCAATAAATAACAGAATCTTAATCATCATAATTTCTCTGTCATAAGGATAGTTACTAAAATTTCTATAGGAATATATTCTCTTAAAAAAAAAAAAAAAAATACTCCACAAAACTCGTGACAGTTTCATCCATTTTATAGTTTGCACCACTTATAACATCACAAGTCTTGCATCCAGTGGTATGCATAGGTTCTAGTTGTGGTTGAAGAAAATGGTTAGGCTGCATTTTGCACTACGGAACATTGTTTTTGGAATTGGTTATTAGATCTCTGGTGCCTTTGAATGGAGCAGAAGAAAACAAGAAAAAAGAAAGGAACTTTGTTAAGCATAATTTCTACTGTAGTAAATGAACGTGATGTGTTGATTGACAAGTGTGCAAATTTTAGAAAATTTTCCGTTAGTATATATTATTTGCAGTTGATGCACTACTGGTTATCAGTTAAATAGAAATTTCACTTAAATTGTTGCTAATGTCGAAGGTGATTTTAGAATGTGATCAGAAAATACAAGTTATTATATATTAATTCCTCTGTTCTTTTGTATTCGCTTCCAGCACACCCATGCATTTGGTTGCCAAGAAGGCAGAAATAAAGGCAGATTGGTAATGAATGAATTATAAGAAACAATTTAGTAAAAACATACTCCATCTGTTTGGTGGTTAGTTACAACTTACAATGTCCTATTAGCCTGGCCAACAAGGGTGAGTCTCATGACGCGTGGTCGCACGTTACACTTCTAGCCTACTGGATGTTACGAGCTGAGTTTAGTGGCTAACATTGTTGAAGCAAAGTAATAAATGTATTTGAAAGCTTATCCGTTTTTTTTTTTCCTCTCTTTTGTTTGGTAGCTACTGGTGTTGCCTTTGCCGAGTTTCACATGATGCTCTTGCCTTTGCTAAGTTTTGCCTGATGAGTTCTGGCCTACTGTGATGTTACTTGCTGACAACTGTTCTCTTTGATGCCTACTGCTAGTGATGGTGTTGGCCTTTTATGTTCCCAATCACCAACACCCCATGATGTTGGCCTTTGCCGAACTTTGCTGATGGTGTTGGCCTTTGAAGCATGCATCCTGGTAATATCTACTTGCTGCTGGAGACTAATTGATGCGGTAAATGCTAGTCAACTCAGTGATGCTCTTCTGTAGTAAATATTACTCCGTATACGTTAGCTTTATATATTTATTGGTTGCTTACTGGCTTTTCTTGTACACAGTAGTAATTTTTTTCTGGTCCGTGGGTTGCTTGTCTTTAGTTTTCAATGAGCGATCTTTACATTTTATATGTGTTAAAACAGGTTTGACATGATTTTTTCATGTACCAATGCTTCTCAATATATAGCTGTATAGTTTCAGTTGACTACACAACTGCTGTATTTTGAGTGTGTGTTATGTCATAAAGTTGTTATTGTTCTTGTGAAATTCTGTTTATTGGGTCACTATTTTGTGAATTCCAATTCTAGATGTTAAGTAAGGACATGGTTTATTGGTTGGTTAAATCAACAATTTAACCATGAATCAAATTTAGAAGAGCCAATTCTTTCACTTATCATTAAACTCTTTATTCAAACAACTGAAATAAAGAATGACTAATGCAACATTCTCAGTACTTTGTGCTCGAACGGTTAAAAAACTAACAATTGTCCTTTAAACAAGTAATTTTTTTTCTTAGAATATGACTCAAGCTGAAGCTATGGCTCTTCGCAACGCTATTCTTTGGGCCATGTCTCTGTGTTATGACCGGGTTTGGTTTGAATGTGACTCGCTGGTGGTGGTTCAGGCAGTTCATGGTATGGATGCTAGTCCAGTGGAGATTTATTCGGTTTCTTTTGATGTGCAAGTGCTTTTGGAGCGGTACTCCTATTTTCGTCTTAGTCATGTCTGTCGGCATGGCAACTAACTCGCCCATGCTCTTGCTAAGTTTTCTCGGCCTCATATTTCAAGTGATATTGATCTGATTCATATCCCAACTAATATCTTGGAGTTAGCAGCGAAAGATTGTTAGTTGTGCTGTTTTGCTTTTTGTTTGCCATGGCAAAAAGAAAATAAAAAATTGTTGGGTGTGTGTCAATTCCTTATACTGTAATCAATGTATATGGCCTCACATGGTATGCAAGAGTTAATAGAGTGCAAGTATTTTAATTCTCTAAATATGACTTAAGTTAGTTTTCATAATTTTCCCAATTCAGAAAACAATTTTTATTAAATGCACCTTTTGCTTTCAAATTTCTGAAAACAGCAAAAATTACAAACGGTATTTTACTTTCTGTTTTAGCTACAAAAATTAAAATCATAATTTTGCTTTTGAGGATAGTAGAAGTAGGAATCACTTTCTGTTATTAGTAAACGGATACTTATTAAACCTTCTATTATAAACAGTAAGCATTAGTAACGTATTTTAGTTTCAGCTTCAGCTTCAAGAAATTAAAATTACAATTTTGCTTTTGGAGATAGTAGAAGTAAAAATCACTTTTTGTTTTTGTTTTTGTTTCGTTTCCTGGAAATTTATGTGAACGTTGAACCTGTACAGCCCACATACCTCATTATGCAATTGAAATTTAACCAGTGACTTCGCTTCTATGGTTTCACTGAGAGCCCCAAATTCAATTCCCATCCCAATTTATAGAACAGAGAAGTGGGGGTTGCTTCATGAATAACAAACCACAAGCTGCCCATGCTTTCTTACAGTATTTCTATCAAACAGCTTATGGGCATCATCCCAAGATGAATATAATATAGAAGCATTTTTTTAAAGGGAAAATTTCATATAAGTCCTACTTTTCAACCCTAAAGACATTTAAGTCCTAAATATTTTTTATTTTGACCAAGAAGTCCTATTTTCAAATTTATTTTCAAATTGGTTCAAATATATATATATATTTGAACCAATTTGAAAATAAATTTGAAAATAGGACTTCTTGGTCAAAATAAAAAATATTTAGGACTTAAATGTCTTTAGGGTTGAAAAGTAGGACTTATATGAAATTTTCCCTTTAAAATTAGTACTGTTCAATCAGCTTCCCTCTCAATCCTTTCAGCAACCATTCGTCTAGCACCACCGCCGTCCAGCTCCACCCCACTTCTCAATTCTTTTAATCATTGATGCTTGCTGATTTCAATGTAAACATCTCTTCTGACCTCACCGGTCTGGAGTTGCAAGCAACGTGAGATTGCTAATTTGTCACCGAAGTGGGTTCGCCGTCACCAGAATTTCAAGCCGATCGTGAGCTCACTGAACGAGTTGCGGAGAGGTGGGTCTTGCAGCAACACCGTACTGAACTTGGCTTGCCGGAATTTATGGATTCCGGTGACCATGGCATCCATTTACCACCGTAACCTCCACAAACACCTCAATTTCTCTATTCAATCTCATATCTCACAACTGTAACCTCCACGGCGACCTAGTTTCCACAACATCTACAACCACCACGATCTCCATCTCTCAATTTCCATGGATGTAACAATTTCTACAGAAAAACGATCTTCTTCCTCCAAATCAGGAATATATTAGCCTCTGTATATTCTTAACATCTTCTTCCACCGAGATCATGCACCATTTTTGCCGGCAATTTCTTTTTACTATGTTCTTTGAATAACAACTTAGAAAAAAAAAAAATGAAGATAATTTAAACGCCGGAATGGATATGAGAGTTGTAGTGTGTATATATATATAATATAACCATTTGTATTTGTACGGGGGGAAGTGCAAAAAACAAGAATGAAATATACATTACATAGCACTTTTACTCCTTATTTAAAAAGATATACAAAAAAACACTTTTATTCTTTTTACATTGTGCGAAAACACCCCCTCAATCAAAAATTTGATATAAATTAGTAATATAATGCCAATTTTACCTTTTTACTCTTCCAAAAATGCCCATACCAAACTTTGAACTGGTTCAATCTCAAACTAGTTCAAGATAAGAAAATACCTGTAACCAAACATCCTTTTTCTCCTACATCTCAGGCGGTGGCTGGTTCGGGTTGTACAACATGGAGGCGCATTTCCCGAGGTGATGGCGCGGGTGATGATAGGATGCCCCATATTTTCTCTTTCTACAAACCACAAGCCCTAATTTTCAGAGACATATATTTGTATAACGTCATGTATATATATACATATATGGGGAAGAAGATGAATTTGGGGAAAAAGATGGATTAAGGTCGCAAAGATGGGGTGTTGAACCATTATAGCCACCAACCCCATTGTAGGTGCAAAATTCCGCTCAACCAATTACGATTGAAAGAAAATAATACAACACACTCAACAAATAATAAAAATAAACAAGAACAGTGTCTATAGAAGAATTGAATTGCTCGTCCCTTTATTGGAGGTCTAGGCCTCTATTTATACACAAAAGTTGGTAGAATTATGGTAGGACTCGCGTTGCTTGTCCTCCAATTCTTCTCATACATGACTTTCTTTACAAATAGAGTTCTTTCCATTATATGATATTTCCTACGTAGAACTTGCTTTGTATAAAGACTTTCCTTCTGGGTTGACTCCTTTGCTTAATAGGACTGAGCCATATTTAATTATACTTGGGGCGGATGTGGTTTGGTGTAAGTGACTTGACCAATGGACCAAAACTTCAACAGCGGTGACGTTGGGCTGATCGATACTCTTACATGGCTTTAGAGGCCCAACATAAATGAAAATGGGTTAAAGCACAACGTAACTTGGGCTTGATCCAGATGGGCTTCTGAGAT